ATACCTACAATACAAGTCCTAACTAGCTAGCCCTCCTTTTTTATATTTTTGCGAGAAAACAACAAAAAGAACCAAGCCCCAAGCTCATGCATCCTTTAATCTTCACAAACCGTTAGCCATTTGAAACACAGAATGACAAGTAAATGGCATCTGAGAAACCTCTCTACACCTGGCTAGCTACAACTCTACTTTTTTTTTTACAAAAAAACCCTAACCCATTATAGGCCGGCTCATGACTTGCTTTTCACGCACCTCTAGTAGCTTTCCTATCTAATTAGTCTACTTTTGTTACTAGTAATCCCTTTTATCTGCCATGTTAAATGTTCCCAACCAAGGGTACACACGCAAATCCTTTCACTGGCATTGCCATTACTAACTTTAAACACTTAAACAGCACTACCAGCACCAGCTACATGCGTAGAGCCAGCCATGTATCATATATATTCAGAGAAGGGAGTACTACTACTATTACTACATAATATTGTATTGTAGATGTTGCATGCACTAAAGATCTCCTCATTACCACCCACCAAAGATGCTATGCCTTTATTCTTAGACAAGAAGATAAACGTTGTGCCTTCCATGCATAAATTATTGTAGGGGACGAGAGGTCCTTGGTAAAGATTATTGGCAATATAGCATAACTAGGTTTGTTCTCTTTTTTGCTAGAAAAACAAAACACCCATTGGGATTCGAGTAAGGTAAAGGCTGTTGCTAGAGTTATTACAGAATTATTTCAAGCCTATTCATCCAAGAAAAAAAAATTATTCATGCCTACATATTTCTTATGAATTTGCACTTCAATGAGCTGTCCAAGTACTTTAACACTAGTAAATTAGGAAGAACCACATTATTGTTCTACCTTTTTTTGAACGAGCAACTCCATGACAGAAACTTGCATCCACTTCTTCCAAAAAAATAAAAAAAATGAACAGAAGAAACTTGAATCTACTGAATACTACGTACTGGGCCTACAAAAATTGACTGATACTCTTGGTTAAAGCCTATATATTGACAGGCATGGTTTAGATTTTTGGACTTTTTAGTGTTTGTCTTGGTGGTATATTTATTCTTTTTTCCTTGTGATTAAAAGAAATAATGATTAAAATTTTTGTTTCATTCTTGATTTGGTATCATACTTTTCAAGAAATGTTCTTTTACTAGTATTTTTAATAAATACTAGTCTTTTGCACAAAAATATTGTTACACTATTTTGCAATATTTTAATAATTAATTTTTTATTGAATGTTTATAAATGAGCACATTTGAATATATATTAAATTAAATTATTTGATTTTAAAACCATTATAATCATATATAAAATCTCATTATGCGTGGTTTGTTTGATTGTATAATATATAAAATTAATTTTAACTGTACTAAAATAAAAATTAGGAACATAAAATAAAATTATGTTTTAAAATTATATAATTAGTAGTTATTATGTATGTTTGATAATAATTATTAGAAATAATAATTAATGAATTACTTTTGGTTATTTTCAGAAATTGAAACGATATTTTATATATATTATTTATAAGTTCCACCCCCTTCTTTTGAAAAGAAGAAAAAAAGAGTTCCACCCCCTTCTTTTGAAAAGAAGAATTTTTTTTTTAAAATTTTATTATAAAATTATTTTAGAATTTTAATTTGAAAAAATTGAGTCATTATTAGACAATGATCAACATAAAAATAATCAATTAAAATATAAATATGATAGCTGCAGATAATTATCTAGGTCATATATGTCCACAGTATAGTAGTAATAATTAAGTATTTGGAGTACATTATTTTTTCTTTGTGAATATATCTTTTTGAATGTCTTGATAACTAAAAAAGTTGAAATAAAATTTATTTGATAATAAGATAAATTAAAATAAATATACCAAATATAGAAGTAATACCGTAATAAATAATAAAGTGTTTTGTTTGTAGTTAGATTTTGATCATAAATATTAATTTTCTTTATCTTTTTTTTCAAAATAAATAATGTTTGACCTCTCATTAACTCACCGGAATGGGAGCTCGAAGGAGATCATGCATACTAGTGTAGAGCACTTTTTTCTTAATTTCCTACCGGATAGGAGAGAGTGAGCTCTCTCTCAACACGTAAACTATTGCAAGAATGGCTTGTCTCTAGAATTGCAAACATAAAGTAACATCTACTGGCCAAATAGAAGAGGCTAGGGCACTAGCTAGTTGGAACCAAAAAGTCAGAACCCTCAATAAACTCCATGGCTCCATGTTGATGCAAAAAGATGGTAATCAATATCGTGGATAGAAAATCAGAAATTGTGAATCCTGGCATTACTTTTTGTCACAATGGTATAATTATTAACAACCATATATAATTAGGACCTTCAACGCTCCTTGACAATGTTAGCAATATTAATTTGAAGTATATTTGATTGGAAATGTTGTTAGATTGCATTTAGTTAGTGTTAACGATAGAATAAATTAATATATATATAAATAATGTGTTTTGATGGAGAAACGAAGATAAAAATATAAAATAAATGTGTTAAAAAATAATATATACAAATTATATATAAAAATTTTATATAAAAATTTAATTTATTTGGTTGAATCGATTATTTGACATGATATTGTAGTCTTGTGATTAGATACTAACAAGTTTGAAATTCATAATTCTCATTTTATTTAATAAAAAATAAAAATAAGGGAGTGTGAACCTATACGTTTCAAGTTCAAGGAACTTTTATTTAAAAAATAATATAAATTATATTTTGAGATTTCGCTTAACAGTTTAAATTATTGAGTCGAATTGATTTTTTAATAATATATTTACAAGATAATTTTAAATTAATTTATGTTGTTTTAAAATAAAAGTATAGAAAAAATATCTATTTTGTATCTACTATATCTATATAATAATCAAATATTATCTTAATGTTTTTGTATATTTTTTAGGTCATGATGATCATATTAATTTCTATTCCAATGGTCTAAAAGCCCAATGCAACGACCATTTATTTTGTGCAGGCTATCATTATGATATTATTTTCTAATCCAATGGTAAAAAAATCCAATGCAACGACAGTTGATTTACTTGGCAAACTTTGTTATAGGGGCTGCTCCCTCTATATATATAGTTTAGAAGGTGTGTTCTACATTTTTTTTTTTTTTAATATTGAGTGTGATGGATGGTGACCAACACATAATATATATATATATATAATTCTTTAAGACACTCATGTATTATGGCAACCCTCTCACAACAGGAGCATGCAATTGTCAAAATCATGGAGCCTGTCATGCAGTATGCACCCACAAAAATTCCTTGGATTGCCTAGAAACCTTGTTTTTTCATCAATTCTAAGCATCAGCATAAATGTCAAAAATTGCCGACTTTCAGGCTTCGATTATTTTGGTCACAACCATCCATTCTCTGAGATAATCATCTCAATTATCAATTAATACACAATAATACGCATAGTTCAAAAGTCAACGCATGATTAAATGTTGGATGGGTACATTTTAACCATTATTAAGATTGCGTAACACAACTTATTTTCATTGAAAATGATATCTTTCTAATCCAAAGAAAAAGAATTAGGGAAATTAAATAAGCAAAGAAGAGAATTCACTTGGAGGATTAGCGGTCAAGGACTTGTAATTTATAAGTGTGTGTTTAATATTGTAGTATTGAGTGTTTTAAAAAGTATGTTTTATTTGAGAATATATTAAAATAATTTTTATTTTTATTTTTATTTTAGATATCAATGTTTCAAAATTATAAAAAAATATTATTAATTTAATATATTTTTAAGCCAAACATATTTTAAAACGCACCCAGGTGCATTTCAAAACACAAAAATAAACTGTTAAGATCTATAGCTCAGCTAGCAATAAATTTGCTCATCTCCATCAACAAAATGACCTTTACTGTCTTGTGGATGATAAAAGAAAACGTGCATGGAGAACCTAGGCCCATCTTACGAGATAGATGTAGCTTCAAATGGACATACATCAGGGCTACAAGGCTTGGGCCTCGATGCTTAATAATCGATTGGGCCTCTTGAGCATTATAATTCTCATTATTATTTTTTTCAGTCGTCATGGAATCAAAGCAATTTTTTATTCATATTTGTTTTCAAGGAACAATCTTTAAATGATTATTTTTAATAGGGAAAG